GTGCAGGATGTATCGCGGGGGTGAGAAAATTGGGAATTGGTTCTTTGTTTTGTTTTAGTGATTAATTGCCAGTTGGATTTATTTTTTGGGGCGGTTACGACGTTTGGAAGAGGTTTTAAGTGATTACATTCGGTGGTTGGAAAATATAGTGAATGAGTACCGAATCAACAATTTTGTTTATTTATAGTATACAAATGTAAAAACATAATATAAATTGATTTGTAAATTTTGTGAATGGTAATAGGTTAAAATGTTAAAAATTTGTTTGGTATAAATAAAATCTCTATTTTCTTGATCATAAAAATGAAAGGATAGGATAAACGAATAGAATGGATGTTTTATGTATTTTAAAAGTAGCTGTCAGCAATTTTTCTTGACCTTCAAACGCACACTGTTTCTTTGCCGTTCAAAAATAGTTTGAAGGCGAAGCTGTGAGATACATAAAATTTATGCAGAAAGAAAAATGGCGATCGCGTCGAGATCTTGCTGCCGTAACTCCGTTAGTATGGGGTAAATAATCATCTCATTGAGTGCACATTTTTAACGGCGCGTTTATAAAAGCGTTTCTACTTTGGTTTATACCTTCCATTATAACTCGTAAAAGAAGCTGTTGTCTTCCAGAACATTGTGTAGAACACTATAGTAGTTGTTTCAGGTGTTCACATAAAACAACGCCTATTTCATAATGTTCTGCGAAAGTTTCCCAGAAACTTTTCTTTTTGATGGATTATCATGTTACATGAAATTGTACATAATTTCCACAAATATTCAAATAACTTTTTTTAATGTTATTTTGTAGAAATACTATACAACCTATATTAAATTATTATAAATATTTTAATCAATATTAAATGTAATTATTACTATTCACTTCAAATATTTTGTTCTGTGCCGGTTCTTGAATTATTAATTAGTAATTCGTCAATGTTAATGTTTATTAGATATTATTTTTAAAAAATTGTTTAATTCCCTAAATTTAAAATGAAAATCAAGATAAAAATATTTAATTTTTTGAGCTTGCAGTTATAATCAGAGAAGAAATTAAAAAGTTATTCATGTGCAAGATTTGACGGATTTACGGTTCGCAAGATTATTATAAAACACAAGTTTTTATAAGTAGTTCTTAAAATTTATTATTGTTGTCAATAAGTAACTTCTTTTTCAAATGCAGTATCAGTTAATAAGTAAACCATAATAATGAATCACCGAAATCTAATTCCACTTGTCGACTTCTAAAAATTTTTAAACTATAATCAAGAGGTTAAATATTCATAAGACAGTCAATTTTTGCAAAAAAGTATTTTAAGTAATTTTAAATTAAAGCCAACGATCATTTTCAAAGAAGCGTTATTTTAGTATATCGGTTTGTATGAAATATAATTTTTATATCCACATAATCGTAAACATAAAGTTTCAAATAAAATGTTAACTATACGTAGCTGTTTGTAAAGGGCATATATTCAGTTAATGTAATTTCCATATGACTATCTAAAAGTTTTTGCAAAGATCAATCGATTTCATTATCGCACACTTATAATAACTATTTATTAAATAGGACAAACTTCGAAAACAGCGTTTTGAAGTCTTCGACTTTTAGAAACTAAGAATGTTTATAAATCTGTGATCACGAAATCAATGATCGGAAAACTCGTATAGATTCGTAAAGAAATAACTTTAACTAAATACATAAAGTTCAAAACAATTTGCTACAGTTTCAAGATTCAACAAACTATGTATGTTTAATTCTTTACTTTCGACAATATTTTTCAGTATAAATATTCATTATTTTATAATAAAATACCGCTAATAGTTTTTGCAACTAACACAAAGAAAAATCTTGCATATATTAATAAACACAGAACCACTTTATTCCAATATTCTATGTAAGTACCAAGACTGTACTGTGCCCGTTTAAATTTCACTCCTGACCTCGACTTTCGTGGAACTTAATCGGGCATCACTATGTAGTACATTAATATTTCATAAAAAATATACCGACGGGTACCTACATCTGTGGTACTTTAAATTGTACATTACCATTCATGCGTCATAATTGGCCAACAGAACTTTGATTAAACATTAAACGTTACAAGTAACTTCTTCTAAGAAATGTGTACTCTGCCTACTTAAATTTGACTGCTGTCCTCCGGCTTTCATGAAACTTAATCGGGCATCGCTATAATTCCTATCTGGAGATTTTTGGGCACGAACGACTCGCGTTACAGCTCACTTATGCCGAGACATCCTGTATACAAGCCCGAGTGCCCGGACGGTTTCAATATTTCGCGGTTCGCTCGGTTATCTCGGAAACGTTGCCCGCGTAGAATATCCAATTTTCACCAAATGCCGCAGCGTCACCGTAGAATGTTTGCCCCGCGTGTACCGGAATGCCTCCGCCGTTGTATAGGCCACCTGGTCCCCGTCCTAGAAAACCCTTTTACGAGCCTCAACCCCCTTTGGTCCACGTACATGCATCGGCACCCTAAACACCTTGGCTTTCCGCTCGACGTCCTACCGCGCAGCCCCGGTGAGTAAATCATCCGGCGGAAACAAGGTTTTCCCTTAGTCGCGAGCGAATGCTTTTCGTTCCTCTCGGCGGCGCGGAACAACGTTTCACTCGGGAACTATCGAGCCGTTTTTTCTTTCACCGAGCCGGAGACCCGGGGCTGCGCGTCCCGTTGACGTTTCCCGATCGCGCGACTTCGCGGGGAATTACTTCGCATCCCTTCGAAACTGCCTTCGTGGAATTTTTCTGGAATTTCCGTTACTCGAGGCGGATCGATTGGAAAGTAACGTCGGCTTTCTGGACGGATAGATCAATCAATTTATTAGGTGACCGGGAAAGTTCGTGTGCCTTCCGCTGGATTTCTGAGAAGTCAGAAACTTTTATAGAAATATAATATAATACATTGTCAGTAATAAAACGTTGTTTCTATAAATTATAATTTTAATATACTTTTTGAATATATTTTTTGTTCCATATATCTAAATTTTTATATACATTTTTATTTGATATATACAAATAAGTAAATTTATTTTATTTATACATAATATATATACATTCTTGTATATTCTTTATTGTTATTCTGAAAAACTGAACGAGCTTTTTTGATTACTTAATAGTATGATATTATTGTTTTATTTCTAATCGATTACGTAACGTTCATTGCTTTCTATTATGCGTATCTTGTTTCGTTTATGTAACGTAATGTATATTATTGTCTGATCGCAATTGTTTTCCGTGTTTGATCTATCCTTTTTTTTTATGATTTAGTTTCTACGTGTTATGTATACTAGGTAATTGTATTTGTAGATCCTATATAAGACGATAGAATTATATAGCGCAGAATCACAGAAAAAACAATGAACTTTATACAATTGATTAAATGAAGTAATGCTATCGTAGTAAATTGATTACTTACACGCCCATGCAACTGATCTTACTTTTCCGCCAACCCGGTAATTAACACTTGTTCAGTGCTTAAGTTAATTGTTACGCAGAGTAACATTAAACCGGAAATAACCGGTGGTGTAACTGGAATGGGAATAATTCTGTATGAAGAAATAAGTTTAGAACGTGGAATGTAATTTTTATTGACGAATCTTTGTTTTCCTGAAAATAACCTCTAAACATACGGCAGCTGCCGGATATGTAATTATGATGTGAGTAAGTGGATCTCAGGCTAGATTATTATCTCCGCTCGTAAAGGAAGCTGTTTGTGTTTATTGTGTGGAGTAATCAGGATCACGGAATAAAACATGGGTGTTGATGAACAACGAATTTTATTACTTTATGAATCATGAAAAGTGCCGGATACACTGTCGAGGAAACGTATAATACCGCCCAAAAGTTAATAATTATGTGTTTGACCAAGAGAAAACAAGGATTTTACAATTATTAACCCTTTGCACTTCAAAGGCGCCTCTCAGTCTTCAACTGATTTGACACGGCAACATTGTAAAATTTGATACTTAATATTACACTTCCTACAATGCATTAATGTGTGAAACAT